CCCGCGGCGGCCGCTGTCCAGGGCTCCCCCTCGCCCCACGCACAGCCACCCCACACTCCCGCTCCGTCTGCTTTCCCCGCTGTGTGCACATCTGATACGAAACCCTCGGAATTTTCACAAAACGACCCCGCCCCCGCCCCCGCCGCAACCCCCCAGGTCGTCGCCAACTGCAAGGCGCTGGCGGCGCGCATCACGCAGCTCGGCTACTCCGTCGTGAGCGGCGGCACAGACAACCACCTCATCCTCGTCGACCTCAAGCCCAACGGCATCGACGGGGCGCGCGTGCAGAGCGTGCTGGACCTCGTGTCTATGTGGGTGGCTTGGGTGTAGGATTTAGGGTTTTGAGTCAGATTCTGGGTTCGGGTTTGAGTGGCGTCGGGGGCTTGGGAGCAGCTCGCGGCGCAGGGAATGGCTTATGAGAGGATCTGGGGGCTTGGGTAACCAGTGTGCTGGTTTGGCGCAGCACCCCACCATGTGCAAAGACCCGTGTGACCCCTTCAGGGGCATCGCAATCCTGTGCCTTCGGAGGTTCCCTGCTTGGCGGGCATTCCTTACAGAATCCCACACACACACACACACACACACACACACACACACACACACACACACACACCACACCCTCTTTTGGGCGGCGCCGGTGGAAGCTTCCCGGTTTGCAAACTCATCAATCTTATCGGCTTGTATCCCACCATCTGCCCCCTCAAAATTCCGACCCGTCCTGCAGCACTCTCAACAAGAACTCTGTGCCCGGCGACAAGAGCGCCATGGTTCCCGGCGGCATGCGCATCGGCACGCCCGCCCTCACCACGCGCGGCTTTGGGGAGGCGGAGTTCGAGCGCGTGGCGGAGTTCATCGCGCGCGCCGTCGAGATCGCCAAGGACTGCCAGGTGCGGGTTCGAGCCTCGGCGCGGGCGGGCCTTTTTGCTGCGCGTGCCCCCGCAGGGGGTTTGTGGGACCTTTGGTCACAGGAAGCGGTTGGGATCAAAGATGGGGGCGAGGCGGCGCTCCTCCTTTTGCAGGCCCATTGTCTGCACAATACATCCTGTGTATCCAGGGCTCTGACCATTCAGCTTCCGCCGCTCCCCCCCCCATCCAGGCCAAGACCCCCGCCCCCGGCAAGCTCAAGGAGTTCAAGGCCTACTTGGCAGGGGAGGGCGCGAGCCGCCAGGTGCGCGCCGACGGTCCGCCCGCCCCCCCTGACCCGCCGCCCGCGCCGCGCGCCCTCTCGCGGCCGCCCAGCCCGTCCGCCCACTGAATCCGCGAGCGCCTTTCCGCCCCGCCGCACGCGTTCTCGTTCCTGGTCCCCGCCCAAACCCCCGGTGTGCGCTGCCCATATTCGCATCCCTCCTCTCCAAAATCCTTTCCCGCCAAAATCCCTTTCCTACCCAACTGTGCAAAATTCAAACAGGACATCAAGCAGCTGAGGGAGGAGGTGGAGGAGCTGGCCTCGTCCTTCCCCATGCCCGGCGTTTGAAGTAGCCCCCCCGGCGTTTGCAGTATACCTCGGAATCCCCGGCCCGGACTCGCTGCGGCGGGGCGCCTGCATTGGCCTCGAACCGCCTTCCTCTAGGGGCGGCGCGCCGCGCGTGCGCGCCCCGCCTGACGGGGCCCCCCGCTTCGATCCGCCGGCGTGGCGCGGCAGGGCGCACGCGAGGCGGGCACAATGGGGACGCGTGGGCCCCCGCCTCGTACGATTGTGCGCACGGATTAGTTGCTGTTTTTGGTCCGATTGGACCCTTCTTTCATCAACCCTGCACCCCACGTAAACCGCCTGGACGGGCCATCGGCCCTCCCTGCGCATTGCATCCGTGCCGTGTTCCGTACCGCTTTGTGTCGTGTCACGGCGGCGCTGTGTGCGGCAGGCCCCAGCTCTAGCGACCTGCACGCAGTTCAAGATCAGCGCGGCACCGAGATCTGAGATCAGAGATCAGCCTGGGCAGCCCATGTGTGTCGCCTCCTAGCACACGCGCGAAAAACGCTGGGTTTTGGGGTGTTGACTGCTGTTGTGTTTGCTGTGTTTCAGGCGCTCACAGGGGGCTGCAATCCCCTCCTGTAACGCCTTGATCTGTGCTCGGCCAAACCTCTCTCCGTCGGGTGCTTCCAGTGCCACGGGAATCGAGAGATACAAACGGGGAGCAATACGAGAAAAGGGGACGTGCTTGTGGCTGGTCGACCGCAAGGCTTGGAACTGAGCGCCGGTCCCCGTGGGTAGAGCAGCAGCAGCAGCAGCAGCCGTGACGTGCGACGGGGTGTGCGCGCCAACCGCCGCCGCGTCACGCCGCGCCGCCCTGCCCGGCCACGCGCTGCGACCGGGAGCGCTGCAGGGCCGCCAGCGCCGCCCCCCTAGCGCCGCCGCCGCCGCCGCTGCCGAAGCCAAAGCCCGCCCCCCCATTCGGGCCCACGTTCGCGCCGCCGGCCCAGCCCTCCTCCTCCCCATGCTGCAGTACGGGCGGCAGGCCGCCGCCGCCCCCGCC